ATAATTATATATAAATTTATTTATGTAGATACATATAAATATCCTGGTAATCAGGAGTGTAATTTTAGAGTTTATTTAGTATATATAGTTATGCGCACTTTATAATTATTTTTTCACGCGAGATGGCGCCAAAGAGTCATATTTTAACAGAAACATTTTCAAGCGTCATTGGATGGTGGTGCTGCCACAGAAAGAGCGGAACATTTTTGAACAAGTACGAAGTTTCGAGTGCGCGTGTTCGGAGTTTCAAGTAGAAAAGAATTTATTACAGAAACCTATGCTGAGAACCCCCTGACCATACTAAATGCATTTTCCTCACAAAATATAACTCCTCTGGTGAAATATTGCGCATGCGCTAAAACAGTAACGTGGCCAGGTTATGTAGGCCTACTGACTGGTATATGCAGCGGCGACCTTACATGCAAGGTCTGCTTCCTATTTTTGAAATGCGGTCTACTGATACAATTTTGCTCATATAAATCTATGATAGCATAACCCCTCTTCATTTTAAATTCATAATCTTTGCTAAATATTTTTCTTCTCGCCAGATATTACGCATGCGCGAGCACCGTTTCAGGCGTGCAGTACGGCCTAAATAAATGTACGTAATATAGCTTGCTGAAAGTGAGCGGGGTGGGTGACTGACGGAAGGTGGCAGGGAAGATAGCTGAGGGGCGGGGGCAGAAGAAGGAGGCTCAGCGTGCGACAAGGAAGACAAGGGAAAGGGCGGGCGGGAATGAAGTAGGAGTTTTGCACCGTACGGCGCTGTCCACAAATATCACCTCGTTGATTTAGCACAATTTTATTCATTTAAAAAAAACTTGTTTAACCCCCGCCTCGAGAACCTCCACCCACCACCGCACGACACCGCCCCCTCTCGCACGCCTTAACACTCCCACCCTTTCCACACACAGCACATCACACACACACACAAGCAGCCACACACACATCACACACACACACATCACACACAGCACAGCACACACACACACACATACACACCACAACACACACACACACACCACAGACCACACATCACACACACACGCCACACACACACACGCATACACACACACAAACACAAGTACACACACACACACACACACACACGAACACACAGAACACACCACATCAACACACACACACGCAACACACACCACACATCACACACACACACACACCAGTGACTCACACTACCAAGTCACACACACCACACACACACACACACACACACACACAGCACACACACACACACACACACACACACACCGACCATACACACACACAACACAACACACCACACACACACAAACAGCACACGCACAGCACACGCCACACCACACACACACACACCGACACACTCACACACACACCACACACCACCACACACACCCACAACGGATCACACACACACACACACACCACACAACACACACACAAACACACAGCACCTCACGCGACGCCGCGCCTTGCTGACGCCATCCACCTTGCAGGCGAAGAGAGAGAAGAGAGAGGAGAGTAAGAGAGAGAGAGAGGGAGAGAAGGAGAGAGGAGAGAGGGAGAGAGAGAGAAGAGAGAGAGAAGGAGAAGTGAGAGAGAGAGCGAAGAAAAGGGATGAGAGCGAAGAGAGAAGAGAGAGAGAGAGAGAGAGAGAAAGAGAGAGAGAGAGAGAGAGAGAGAGAGGAGAGAGAGAGAGAGAAGGAGAGAGATAGAAGAGCAGAGAGAGAGAGAAGAGAGAGAGAGAGAGAGATGAGAGAAGAGAGAGAGAGATAGAGAGAGAGAGAG